CTCGACGCGGAAGCTATGAATTTCCCAGGACTTTAAAAACTTGAAAATTCAATATTATGGACTCCAAACTCACGAAAAATAAAAGGAAAGAAGAGGTGCAAACCACAAAAATTTGCACAAAAAAGGGATGGAAAGGTTTAGAGGATGTAGAAAGTGTTTAGGATTAGCAACCCAATCGGTCACCTCTCTAACAATCCTATCCTTCAATTTATGGATAGAACGGCTAGCGAAAAGGCTCCAGTGAACAACTAATAAAGCTCTACAAGTAGAAAAACACCTATTCTACACGCATGCATCAACAAAACACAAGCTTGTGTGCAATGCACTAATCTTCGAAATGAATAGAAAAAGAAAAAAGAGTTTTCCTCTCGTCTAATATTGAAATATCAAATTCATAAAAGGTACCAATGAAATGTTGGCCAAGCACCCCTATTTATAGTAGAGGGGGCTGAAAATTCTCCAATTAGGAGAAGAGTTTGATCTCTTATTGAGAACTTGTGTCTTATCTATTAAGGTAATGTATCTAGACACCTTTATAGACTTAAGACACACTAGTCTAATTGAGAACTTGTGTCTTATCTATTAAGGTAATGTATCTAGACACCTTTATAGACTTAAGACACACTAGTCTAATAAAAATAAAACTCCAAATACAAAGAGATATTCTCTCAAAAGAATCTTATCCTTATCTTGAAAAGAATCTTCCTGAGTTATCAACTCTATCAATATCTTCTTTGTAGAGTAATCATAGTCATCCAATCTTGATCTAATCTCCATCCAACGGTTGAGAGTAGACACCAAGGAATAGACTTCTTATTTTGAATAAACTCTAAATTAGATAAAAGAGAATCATATCAAATTTTATCCTTCCATGTGATAAGATTTAAATTATCTTATCTCTAAAAGATAGGGAATCTTCCAAATATTATCCTTCCACAAGTGTGATAAGATTTAAATGATTTTATCCCTAAAAGATAGAGATTCCAACTCCTAAAAATTAGGAGATAGGGCCGGCCTCTCTTGCTTGGTTTGTGGGCCGAAATTTCCTTCCTCAAATGGGCCTTGTAACACATTAATAATCTTGGGCCTGTAACTTCTAGAATTGACATTTTCTTGGGCTAAACCATTTGATATAAGATTATTAAGTGCACTCCTCATTTTTTTACATCTAGCTTGAGTCATTGGGCTTCCAATGTTGGATAATGGATCTTGAGCCACTCCTTGAGCTTGGACAGTACTTGGAACCCGAATACCTTGATTATCTTGGACTTGATTACCATGGATGTTCACATCACTATGTAATATCACCAATTAAGTAAACAGTTCAAAACTGGATAATAATTGCAAAAGAATAATTTTCTTTCTTTAGTTTGAAAAATTTAATCCTAATATGTCAAACGTAATGTAGGAACTGTTTTTAACAAACTAAACTTGCATGGTGATCATAACTAATTGTCCAAATGTAGAACGTGCATCACTTGTTCAAGTTAACAAGTATAGAAACACTTCTTTCATATTTATCATTTTACTTACATTTTGAATCATATATATTTCAAAAATATATATGTTCTTCTATATGATATCAACATACCATAAATTTTAAGGAACATGAATGATAAATATCAATCTTCTACCATACTTAGAAATAGAAAAAAACTTCAACAAGTTCGATTCTTTCCCAATTATCAAGATTGATTCACAGTCTCATCTATTCAATTTTGTTTTGGCTTGACTTGACAGATAGTCTTGTATAATTTATTCTTGGAGTTGAATTTCTTGAACTCAATAAAAGAATAAACTAATTATATTTATCCTTCATAAGGATATCTCAGCTTATAACTTGTTCAATAACAAGCTATAACACTAAAATGATCTAGTAAACTCCACTTTCGATTATGCATTAAATAATATTGAAGATGCATTATCAAAGGTGGCGTATTTACACTCTTTCAACAATTTCATATTAAAATCATATGACATAACTTTTATATCATTGTAGACTTAATGCTTAAAATAAACATACTAAATTATTTTAGATATCATCTTATTATGTTTGAGACCTTAAAAGTCGATACAACCAAAACTTTTCATTTAAGAACTATTCTTAAAGTTTTATGCCAAATCATGATTTCCACATTTACAGGCCATGTATTCATCTAAAATGAACACTGGTAGATATTTTATTTACTCACAAATTACAACATACTAATAAAAATAGAAACAACATATTTATACATTTATGCAATTAACAAAACCAAAATATAAATAGAATAATAAATAATAAGAAATTTCGGTATTGCTCTCACTATTTTATTCAAACCAATAACCCTTAAAATATTGATTTAGAAATTATCTCATGATTTCTAGTGAGATAGGACCCTTACTAATTATTTTGACCTTGAGAGAACCCAACAAATCAAAATAATTTCGCAAGGTAGATAGACACTATCAATTACAACACTTGTAACTCTTAAATCGTTAGGTTACTAACTCTTGATAAATACATCATATCTGACGACTAACCCTCGCCTCAAACATAGATAACCTTGAGGAATCCCAACAAATTATATATGTTTGTTAAATCAAACCTATTATTCAGAGATCTCATATCTCATAGAATAAACATGCAAGTGGTTGAATTAACCTTGAGGAATCCCAACAAATTAATTCGCACAAAAGCAACTGTTCAAACTATAATAATGGAAGGCTTTAAAATATGAATTAATATATTGCCTCAAAACATACGACATAATTTATAATCGTGGGACAAGTCATGTGTTTTGTTAAGTCATACCCATTATTAAGAGATCATATCTCATAACAAACAATAACCAAATACTGATTGAACAACCTTGGGGAAGCCCAACAAGTCGATTCACGCAGCAATTGTTATTTTGTTGTAATAATGAGAGGCATTTAACGACTTAATATTTTTATTAAGGGATTTAAAATTTAATTTAATATCTCATCAACTACATGTAGCAATATAACAACATTTATTGAAATAGACATACTATATGCATTCAAATAATCACATTAATTGAACATAATTTCAATAAAATATTGCACATAAACATGTAATTAAATATCTAATAAATAATTATAATTACAAGAACATATTTAACATCTTATCATGGATCTATATGTATAATCATTTCTAATCTAATTAGAAATAAATTTTCGAATTATTTTGAGAAGTTTTTATTTGGCATCTCCGAGAGACAATCAAATCAAACATTTGATTGATTTGGTTGAAGAATACTATTTAGAGTTTAATTTTAGAAATATCTCCAAATATTTAATCTAATTAAATTTTGAAAAATATTAAAATATGAAATATTTTCTAAAAGTTGAAAACTCCAAAATAAAAATGTCTATATCAATCTAATTGACATTAACAAAATAAGAATTTTAATACCTTTCAATAGAATTTGTAATACTTCAAAAATAATCAAATTAAAATTGAAGCATGTTTATATCAAAAACATTACTAAAAATAAATCAAATTTATAATTTAATAATTTTTCAAAAACAATGAACTACTAAATTCCAATCGAATTGAAATTTCATTATTATTAAAAGTACAATCACATTATATTTTAATATCTAAAATAATTCCTTATTTGATTCGAAATCATAGAGTCCGTATCCAGTGCACCCGGGTGTACCGTATACCCCCCCCACCAAACACACGCGCACCACGCGCTCAACTGTTTTTACCTTTACATTAAATGTACACAAAAAGTTATTTTCATCAATTTCATCCTCACGCATAAACACACACAAACACACAGTCGACGGAAACTCTCCATTTTAGGGCAAACCCCCCCACACACACAGACGACGGCGAGAAACCCTACGTCCGGCCATCTCAAGCTCTCTTTCATCTATGCATGCTTCACTGGTAAGTATATTACTCCGGGATCCTTCTGTGTATCCACTAGATCTGAACTATTTATCCATGGTTTCCTGCGTATGCTATGTGATCGTTATCCATGCCATAATCTCCGGTTATCCATCTATATCATACTGACATTTGTTATCCGTCTATTTCATTCTGGTTATCCACAAGTTGTAGAGCGGTTATCCAGAAGTTGTAAAGTGGTTATCCACAAGTTCTAAACTGGTTATCCATACTTTTTTTACATTTTATTCTATGTGGCATGGTTTGTGTTTTCTTTTTGTTACTTGTTTAGGGTTTAGGGTTTAGGGTTTCTGGTTATCCACCAATTTTAACTTGGTTATCCGCATGGTTTAAACTGGTTATCCACCCATTTCATAGCTGTTATCCAGAAGTTGTAAAGTGGTTATCCACAAGTGGTAAACTGGTTATCCATGGTTTGTTTACATTTTATTTAATGTGGCATGGACAAACTGAACCGGTTATCCACTATATATCTGAAATGGTTATCCAAGTTTTCCTGCATGTGTGGTATTGGGTGCTTGTCCAAAATTTGTTTCTGGTTATCAACCCATTTTAACTTGGTTATCCACGGTGTGTAAACTTGTTGTCCATTGTTTTTTTTCGATGTGTTTTTTATCTGGCTACATGTCCATACATTATTTGCTGGTTATCCACCCATTTCATACTGGTTACTCCATTTTTATTACTACTCCTTTTCATATCCTGCTATTTTGTCCACTGACTTCTTACTGATTATGCAATGCCAACAGTGCCCTAAAGAAGGCTAGAACAAAATATAGGCACCATTGGATCAGCGCAAGTCACGACCTCCAGTGCAACCCAGATAGATCACCGGATCCTGAACCAAAGAATATAATGGAGCTCCCTGAAGGAACACTGACCATATATAAAAAACAAAAATCAACCCAAGAAGAACAAGAAGAACAGTCCCCTGTACAAACTCCAAGGACCCAAAACTTGTGGAGAAAACCAAAGAGGAAGAAGAGCACACCGACAGGAAATCCAAAGCATTGCTGATGACAACGATGATAAAAAGCCCAAAAAGAAAAGAATGAAACCTGAGAACAACAAACTGATGATTGGTCAAGATCCACGGCCAATCAGTTCTGAAGATTACGTCAAGAAATTTGAGACAAGGATGACACCAAACCTTCTCTTCCAACTCATCTCTGAAATCAATAAACCAATAGATCTTACAAAAGAGCCAGATGCGGTAGATTATCGCCAACTACAAAGGCAGGCTATCAGAGATATGGGATTTGGCGCCTTGCTGGATCTCAAAATCAAAAATATTCCAACAGCCTTGTGTAATTTTCTGGCAAGCAATTTCCAGACCGGTGCAAGACAAGTCCCATTGAATGGGAACAATGTACTGGATATCAAACAGGAAGATGTTGTTGCTGTACTTGATCTTCCTCGTGGACCCAAACTAGTGGAAGAATTCAAACAGAATGATCCCGCTATAACGGACCACGCTGAGATGGTGGATGCGTTCAAGAAAAGAATGGGATACAGTAATAAATTCCTGCCAACGAGATCCACCGCGGCAATATTAATTGCTGGTCGAAAAGATTTTGGTGATGACTTCAAACGAGATTTCCTCGTCTTCATTGTGAGCACATTCCTACATGGAAACACCACTTCCAGGATCACAATGAACATCCTGAAGTCCCTCGTGAACATCAATGAAGTGACACAATACAATTGGTGTCAATATGTGATTGATGCACTGGTGAAAGGATGCAAAAGTCACCACGATGGGAAACCATTCACCGGACCAATAACTTTTTTCCTGGTACTTACCATATCCGTACAAATTTTACTAGTTATCCATATTGCTTGCAATGTTTATTCAATTTGCTTGTACTTGTCTGATGTGATTGTACTTGTCATCCAACTAATTTGTACTGCTTGTCCAACCCTCTTTTTCCCCTTTAAATGGTTATCCATTGTGTTCCTGCCGGTTATCCAGCCTATTTGAACTCATTATCCACTTCATTTGAACTGGTTATCCAATCTGTCTAATTTGTACTGCTTGTCCAACCCTCTTTTTCCCCTTTAAATGCTTATCCATTGTGTTCCTGCCGGTTATCCAGCCTATTTGAACTCATTATCCACTTCATTTGAACTGGTTATCCAATCTGTCTAATGTACTGATATCATTAACACCAACTTTTTTTTTCTTTGTTTTTTTTTGGTTTAGTTGTGCAACCTTGACAGGTGTGAGTATGAAAGAGCACATCTGAGGTCATTCCCTGTGATCAAATCTTGGGATCAAAAGATGCTGGACGACAGAATAAGACTTCAGGGAAGCAATTTCCCAGATGTCTAGACACTTGAACGTCTCAAGAAACCGTCCTCAGCAGCATCCCGAGATGAACAACCAGAGGCGGAATCACAGAAGGAGGATACACAGGGAAACCCCAACACACAGCAAGTCTATGTACTGTTCTACCATTTTTTTTCAGATCAAACTTACGTATCCAACCTAGCATCTCCACATTCCACTAACTACATTCAATTTTGCAGGACCTTGCCACTCTTTATGAAAAATTCTACCAATTGATTATCACGATGAGCAAAACTGTTTTAGACATTCGTGAGAAGGAAATGGAGTTAAGAATCGAACCAGATGAACAAGCAAAGAAAACAATCAAGATCCTATTAGATGCAATGGTGTCGATGAGTAGAAAGATGCCTCCGCCTTCAGGTACAACGCAACTGGAACAAGAGCAGCAGCAACACCAGCAAGACCTCCAGGATGCACAGATTTGTGAATTGTGCGAGATGGCATGGAAGTCCGCTGAAAGCACATTCGCAACAATCATAGAACAGCTGCAACGATAAGTAGCTGACCAACAAGAACAACAGCAACACCAACAAACTGATGACAACACTGTAGAAGCTCCAATTAATCTCGCAAAATTTCAAGGCATTGAAATTGACAAAGCACAAGGACTGGAGCAATTGAGCCAGACAAATGATGAGGCTTCTATTGCAGTGGGGAAATCTGTGCCTACTTCAAAAGAAGTGGTGGTTGATGAACCACAAACTCAACTACAAGGGGCACAGGGACTGGATCAATTAAGCCAGACAAATGATGAGAATTCTCTTCTAGTGGGGAAATCCGTGCCTACTTCAAAAAAAGTGCTGGTTGATGAACAACAAACTCAACCACAAGGTAATGAAACAAATGCTTGTATGATGTGATTGTACTTGTCATCCAACTAATTTGTACTGCTTATCCAACCCCTTTTTATCCCTTTAGATGGTTATGCATTGCGTTCTGCTGATTATCCATCCTATTTGAACTGATTATCCACTTCATTTAAACTGGTTATCCAATCTGTCTAATTTGTACTGCTTATCCAACCCCTTTTTATCCCTTCAGATGGTTATGCATTGTGTTCCTGCTGATTATCCATCCTATTTGAACTGATTATCCACTTCCTTTGAACTGGTTATCCAATGTGTCTAATATATATGTACTTTCGTACTGATTATCCAACATTCCAACTTTGTACTGCAGCACATGCAACGAATGTCTCCGCGACAGAAAAGAAGAGATCCCATCAAGATTCCACCGGCCGGGATTCAGCTGTGACATCCACCTATACCAAAAGGTCGAGAAGCACTGGTACCAGGAAAAGGAAAACATTGAAAGACGCAAGTATCCCAAGCTTTAACCTAGGTATCTTCTCCAGTCAGGAAGACAGTTACGAGACAACCCAGGAGAAGAACACTCAGGAAGATGTCACAGGAAGGGTTGATCTGGATAAAGATGTGAATGAGACTATAGAAGCAGCAGAATATCCAATACCATCTGCTCTCGACGAAACAAAGAATCCCATTCCTTCCATCGATGAAATTATAACAAGGGCCAGTGCACCAGCTTCAGAATCATCGAGTGATACAGAAAAACTAGAGATCATTGCGGCTGTTGCAGAACAAGTTGAGAAAAACCCAGAGGTGGTTGAAGCAGTCCCTTTAAGCATAATTCCACCCGATTGGAATGTTGCTTCTACCATGGGTCGTCTACTCATGCTGGACAAAAATGAGTGTACCACGCCACCGCCTGCAATCTCAAAGAAAGCTGAAGTACTTGATGAAGGGTTAACAAAGACAGGGGAAAAGTAAGTTTGATCCACTGTGAATGCTCACAACAAAATAGAAAGACGAATTTACATACTAACTCTCTTTTGTTTTGTCCTAGGATTCTCAATCAAAAACCTAGGAGGAGAAATCCACCAAGAATTCACCGGTTGCCCGAACGGTTCAGGTCGCCGTTCATGCTGCAGAAGAAAAACAAGAAAAAATTCATACAGTTGACAGAGGAGAAGAAGAAAATGACCGAAGAAGAAGCCCTGTTGATAGACTTCGCTCTCTTGCAGAGACAAGAAAAAATAGTTAAATCAGGGTAAAAGCCATCACACTTACCAGTTTTCCAACTATTTGTCTATTTGACTACTTTTTCTATGCAGGAATTTCTTGTTTGAATTTGGAAAAAATTTTTGGGCAGACAGGACAGCATTCTATTCCATGAGGGAAGGCACATGGATAGAAAACAGCATCATAGATGCTTGGGCTGTCATCCTAAACAAAGAAGAAGCTAAAAGTGACTCCCCAAGTCGGATATTCTTTGGTGTTTCCGTATTTGTAAGTCAACTAAACCGTTATTGTTTATCCACTCCTGGTAAAATACTTGTCACATGTCTGCAAGTTGTTTATCTAAAGGCTTTCCACTAGTTATCCAGCTATAACGGGTGGTTATCCACATCCTGTAAACTAGTTATCCAGCCATAATTGCTGGTTATCCACATTCTGTAAACTAGTTATCTATGCCATTTTTTTAGTTGTGCTTCTATGCGGCTGCTTGTCCATACATTATTTTGCTGGTTATCCATCATTGTTGTATAACTGACCTACCTATAAGTAATCATCAGGAAGATCATGCATGACCACTAACACTTATTATCCAGTTTGTTACTAATGCTTGTCCATCAGAGTTCAACTGGTTATCCATTCATTCTTGTTTGTCATCTAGGGTATTTTTGGTTGATCTTGTATGTGCTTAATTCCGATCATTGTTTTCTACTACATTTTCCAACCATTGTACTGATCATTGTATCATTTTCCAACCATCTTAAACATTAACGCAGGATACAATCAGTCGCTACTATCAACAGGGTAGTAACAAAGAGGAAATCGAGTGCACATTCTATGAGAGGTTGGCTCTTGAACTAGAAGAACAAGGACTCAGTGTAGGATCCCTGATAGTGGCAAAAGCTGTAAGCAACATCTTTCACCTCCTTCACTCTTTCTATAACTGGCTGTTAAAAAATTTTCTTATGATTTCCCCTTTCAATGTGAAAAATCAGATCTACTTCCCAGTACACTACCGAGAGCATTACTTCTTGTATGTGTTGATGGTTCAAGAAAAGAAAGTGTTTGCATTCAACAATCTACATGCAAAAGATCTGGACTACTACAAGCCAACAAAAGATCTACTTGTGAGTGAAAAAAAGATACAAAATGATTGTCATACTTTAAGAATTATCCATTGCATTTTGCTGATCCTTGGATTTTATGGCATCACAGTTTCAGTTCTTCAACATGTACCTTCAATGTGTGCTTCCACACATAGAACTGGTCACTGCTCAATACACATTGACAGAGGTTATGCTACCATCACACAATGACAAAAAGCCGAATGCGGAAGATTGTGGAATATTCACAATGCACCACATGGAGCAGTATGATGGTGGTGACTACGAGGACTGTACTACTTTGGATTTCCATACAGGAAACATCAAAGAGTACCGGTGGAGATACATGTTAAAAATCCTTATGCACCCATCCAACAAAAATAAGGACAAAATCCTCGAAGCAATGCACCAGTTCTAAACAAATACTGCTGAAGAAGAACCAAAAGAAATTCCAGATCATGTTGATTTGAGCAGCAAATCTTACTACAACGACAGAAAAATTCAGGGATGGGTTAAATGAACTGTCATTATCTTATTTTGTATAATTGATTGACTGTTGTAGTCCAGATCATTTTGTAATGGTTATCCAGGATCTTTCTACTAGTTATCTAGCTTCAATATTTCTTTACTGATTATCCAATGCTTTGAATTGATTATCCAGGACTTTTGTACTGGTTATCCAGCCAATGTGCAGCAATATCCAACCGTTTGTAGTGGTTATCCATGATCATTGTACCAGTTATCCATCTTGTTAAACCTGATTATCCGAATGTTTTATAATGATTATCCAGTCAAAAAAAATGCAAGTACAGTCTTTAACCTGATTATACATGAGATTATACTTCTTATCCAAAAACTCAACACTGCGTATCCATATGTAACGAATGTTTTATAGTGATTATCCAGTCAAAAAAATGCAAGTACAGTCTTTAACCTGATTATACACGAGATTATACTTCTTATCCAAAAAATCAATACTGCTTATCCATATGTAACAAAAGTTTTATAGTGATTATCCAGTCAAAAAAAATACAAGTACATTCTTTAACCTGATTATCCATGAGATTATACTTGTTATCCAAAACCTCAATACTGCAATCCAAACGGCATATTCGAAGCCCCCCATGATAAACTAAATGACTCCTGCGGCTACCGGAATCGCAGGTCACCAACCTGCCCCGGCTGCGCCGCCCCACCGAACACGCCAATGTAGCTAAGGTGATCCTTTTTTTCGTGTGTGTGTAAGGAGAGTGTGTTATTGCGTTAAGAGGGGACACAAATTAATTGTATAAATCCCCCCGTGATAAACTAAACGACCCGGCTGCGCCGCCTACATGCCGAACAAGGCAAATTTCATAAACAGTGTTTAAAAAAATGAATGAGGGGAAGTTTGTCAAATGATGGAGAACAAAAAATGAATGAGGGGCAGGCCGTCTGACTTAAGTAGCGGGCCAAACCCGACCCGGGAACGCAACTCGCTTCAGAATCCCGCCCAAATTCTGGAAAACCTGCCCCATTAGTGTGCACGTTTTCCAAACGGCGGCCGGGCAATCATAATAATTATCCCTTAGAATCCTTCACCCGAAAACGTCATTCAATCATAATTGAGTGTGTTGGATAATATACCATTCCTTCAACCATTCACCTGCTGTCTCCCTTTTTATGGGTATAAAATTCACTTTGTTTTTATTCTTTATGAAAAAATGCTGGTTATCCATAGTGGTTATCCACAGTAAAATTCACTTTGTTTTTATTCTTTGCTCATTATCCAATACTCTGAATTAATTATCTAGAACTTTTGTATTGGTTATCCAGGAATTTTGTACTGGTTATCCAGCCAGTTATGTAACTCATTTAAGGATAATCAACACTGGTTATCCACTATGACCATACTGGTTATCCATAGTGTGGAACATGTTACTGTGTATAACTGAAAACCACACGTTCTGTAATTAAATAGAATTTAAAAGATTGAGGGAGTATAAATAAAAAAAGAAAACTGAAAATGCTCATGTTTGTGCAGAGTACATCCACCATGATCTAATGGGTAGTTACAGAGCCACACGTTTTTACATAACTGTCATTAAATGAGTTTCTTGATCTGCACCTGGGGCTAAAACTCCTTCATCTGCACATACACCAGAACACTTGATTTGAGCATCCAAAACATCCAATAGCCAGAAAAAAATGAAAAACGAAAAAATTTCCTCAAATTCCACCACCAAACAAATGTCCCCCAGCTATCATGAATATATCCATCACGATATGCTTGATAATATGTTCATTAATCTGTCATTGGAAAAGATTGGACAGTTCCGTCGCGTCAGCAAAGCTTGGGAGGAAATGACGAAAAGACCGGAATTTGTTCTTCAAAAACGTGAGATGAGCTACCCTGCAATTGAAAACAACATCCTTGTTTTCACTCAAACAAGCCAAGAAGATCACCTGTTGCAAGACAAACTAATCGCCACCAATATAAAAGTGCAAATGGATAACCCATGCAACCACATACGATTTCAAGAAGAGATGTCGATGGGTGACGACGGCATCCATAAACTCATGCCTATCACCACAGATTTGATCTGTCTGCAAACCAGCTCTCAAATTAAATTCTTTGAACCCAAAGACAACACAACTTGCAACAATTGAATGGCCATATGATGTCCCTCTCAGCAATTGTGAAATAGCATTTGGGTACGTATCATCCTCAAAAACTTACGTTTTCATGGCCCTTATTGCCGATGGAAAAAACATGCAAGGCTGCATTTTTTCTTTTCAAAGTTGTTCAAGTATTCATAGAGGGGAATGGAAAACACTTTGCAATGTATGTCCTCGCCTTGTATCTGATGGAACCTGGTTTGATAGATTCGTGTACTGGCGTGTAGACAAACTATCCTCTGAAATAGCAACACCTCAAGAGTTGTTGGTTGTGTTTGACTACCACACTCACCAATTCCAAACCATAAACTGCCCTCCATCTCCAACCTTCTTTAACCCCACTTATCCTTCTCATATGAATCTCCAAGTGAAAATATTGGACTTCCAGGGGACTATGTGTGTAATAGATGAGTACGAGATTACTCAGAATCATCACTGTGAGATGTGGGCATGGGATCCAGATACTTCCACATGGGATTGCATATTTGAGACCCATGAATTCCCAAATGTGAACACACACATTCCACACGGATTACATTTCTGTCATGATTGGCTTTATCCAGTGTTCTTAAGCCATAAATCATCTCCAGCGGGACAGTTCATTGTCAAAGGATACGATAATCGTCATTTGTTGTTGTATAGTGTTCCTACCAGGAAAATCACACATTCAAGTATATCGCCGAATCTAGAAACCAGTTTCATCATTAGAGCATGTTACTTCTGGGAAACATTAACACACTTTTAGGACTTTGTACTGGTTATCTAATGATATTACTGAATCCCAGGACTTTGTACTAATTATCCAGATTATCTATGCTGGTTATCCAATGTATTTTGGTTGTCCAAATATTTCTGTAAATTCTTAGAAAACAAAAACTGAGTGTCCCAATTTCTTGGTCTTTCTACTTCTTTATTAAACTGCTTATCCTATGATGTTATATTGCTTATCCAGGACTTTTGTACTGGTTATCCAGCCAATGTGCAGCAATATCCAACAGTTTGTAATGGTTATCCATGATCATTGTACCAGTTATCCATCTTGTTAAACCTGATTATTCGAATGTTTTATATTGATTATCTAGTCAAAAAAATGCAAGTACAGTCTTTAACCTGATTATCCATGAGATTATACTTGTTATCTGTGTTCAACGTGTTCATGTGTTTTTTTGTAATATCTATATGCATTTAAAGTTGCATATCCAGTACAGGCGAGTTAGATATCCAGTACAAACGAAATGGATATCCACTACAAACAAAATGGATATCCAGTACAAACAAGTTCGATAGGCATACAAACCAAATGGGTGGATATCCAGTACAAACAACTTGGATAACCAGTTCAAACTGGTTGGATAATCACCATGAACACAACGGATAACCAATTTAAAATAACCACTTGGATAACCAGTACAAACAAAATGGATAACCAGTTAAAACTGGTTGTATAATACTGCAATTTAAAATAAATAATACTTTTTAAATAAAAATCTTTACGCCATCAATACTGTTCATTTCAACATCAAGTTAAAATACTAATAAAACATCTTGTTGAAGAAACGCTGCGCTCCAGCCTCCTTGGCAGCTTTCCTTCGGTTAGGAAACGAGAACCCACCAAAGTTTTCATTCATGAATGTCATGTTTTGATGAGAAGGATTCACAGCAGCGGAAGTGCTTTCGCCTTGAAACTCTTGGCTAGCTCCCTTGGGAATTGGAAATGAGAATCCACCGGAATTTTGGTTGATGAACGGCATGCTTTGATCAGAAGCATTCACAGAAGTGGAAGCCCCTACCCATGAAAAATGTTGGGCAGCTACGCTTGGATTAGCAAATGAGAATCCACCGGAATTTACGTTCAAAGATGGCACGCTTTGATGGGAAGCATTCACAGCAGCAAAACTTCATGAGCCTGTAAAATGTTGAGTAGCTCCCTTTGGATAAGGAAATGGCATGCTTTGATAATGCAGGTCTGATGCAACTGAAGCTCTTGTTCGGTCTGCAGCAATTCTAGCATTTGTTTTCCTGCCTATGACTTTGTTACATGCCTTCTCAACAATGCTTTTAGGACGTTCGTTCCTGGGACCAAACTTCTTCCTCTTTACAGCCGGATTCTTTATAACACCATCATTGTCTACAGACTCATCATTATTATTTGAACCAATGAAACTACCGAGTTCTTCTTTAAGCCTGTCAACAGCCTCGTCACAACATTTCTTTGCATCTTTGTTATATTCACTTGCATACACCAAGTCTGAAAATCGTCTCATAATTAGGGCCTTCCACAGCAATGGCCCAACAGCTTTTCCATCTCCCTCATTAGCTATGCTTGACCTGGCACCATAACCTTTTGTCTATCTCATACATATATAATCTTTAGGAAACTCATCAACAGAGGTTGCGTGACAGATTCGAAGAATGTGGCAACAAAGCATGCCCGCCTCAGAGTAGTACCTGCACGTGCATGAGAATCTCTGTAACCTAGTGTCATATACAACCACATGCTTAAAGTGCTCTATCCCAAACCGCTAAATATGGTACGTCACAACCTCTAATTGCTCTTGCCTGCACAACATCCCATCTTTGTGCAACTGCTGAACATCCCGGAATGCTTCAACTGTGTACACTCTGTGAATGCTCTCCAGGAAAGGGTCACCGGGAAGATATGAATCGATGTTTCCCTGGCTACAACGTAGATCTTCACCCCTCACAGCTACCCGCCAACAGTGTACAACATCAGAGAAAATTCCATGGAAATCACAAAGC